GGCGGTGCGCTGCATATGTGGGACGTCGCCAGCGGCACGGCGCTGCGGGTGGTGCCTGCGGCCACACCGTCGCGCTCAGCGGTCCACCACATCCAGTGCACTCCCCGCGTGGACGCGCAACACGTGTGGGTGTGTACGCGTGGCGGCAGCGTGGCGTTGTGGGACGCGAGCCGATTGATGCCGCTGGGCGAGCTGCCGGTGGGTTACCCGAGGGGGCCACCCATAAGCAGCCGCGACGCCAAGTTGCACCACCGCAGCAGCACACGCAATGGCGTGCATTTCTTGCGGCATCTCGTCACCGACACCGCGGAGGCGCCGCATCACTTCACGCTCTTCGCGCTGCCGATCGAGCCAGTCCTGACGGTGCGGTTCTGGTCTGCTGCTACGGACGGCACGGTGCGCTCATGGCTGTGCCACACGAGTCTGTTGGGCCTACCCGCAGGCCAGCTGGTGTCGGCATCTCGTGCCGCTGTGACCTGCCCGGTTTCTCCCGGCGCTGATGGGACGGCTGGACTGACGGCAGCCACTGCCACTGCAGCTGCGGCAGGTACCAGCGGGCTGAGCAGGGAGGCAGTGGGTGCATTCATTGCGGAGAAAGCCGCGGTGTTTGCCCGCGAAACCGCCACACTGCGCGGCGAAGTGTCGCAGCGCACACAGGAGGTGGCAGCGCTGCAGGCGCGGAATCGTGTCTTGGCGGACGCCCTGAAATCTGCCATCGCACGCATCAACCAAGGCGAGGGGACAACAAACGCCTCGCCGTTGCCGCGACCGCCAACACCAGTGCCAGTGGATGTGACGGATGGCGCCGCGCGTATTGACGCCATGCGAGCCACACTCGAGGAGCTACACGGAAAGCTGCACGACGCGTATGCCGACAAGGAGCAACTTCTAGCCGACCGAACGGCGATGCAGTTGCGGCTGAGCGAGCGCGCGTCGCTGAGTGCCACAACGAAGGTGTGTCGCTCTGCGTCAGTGCCGGCGGAGTCGCGCCACGGTTTGGCGGCTCGCGAGGGACGCGGCCAGATGGAGCGGCTGCAGGAACAGCTCGCCATGTGCCAGATGGAGTGCAGTATGTACGTGCGCCACTGGCGGAGCGAATACATGCGGCGCGTGGCCGTTGTGGCCGAGCGGGAGGCCTGTGAGGAACGTCTTGCCACGCTGCAGAAGGAATTGGACCACGCGAGGGCCGCTATAGATTTCTCGTCGCTGCCGTTACAGCAGCGGCAGCAACAACTACTACAACAACAACAACCGCAATCGTCGTTCCCAACGGTAACAGGTGACACTCAGTCGGGCGGGGACGCCAGCGACGCTGCGCAGACTGACGCCAAGCTGTTTTGGCCCACTGAATCGATGGGCCTGCTCGTTGGTGTGGGTGTGGGCGAGGGCGACGGCGACGGTAACCGCAGTGAGGCCAATAAAGATAGCGTTAGTGATGATGACTATGATACTGGACGGGCTCTAGAAGGGCTTGCCTTCTACTGTGGCGCGCTAAGCGGCGGCAGCGCGGCGACCCCGCAGGGGGCGGGGACGGCGCAGACGGACCTCCACGAGCGTGAACAGCGGCTGGCAGCGGCGTTGCGTCACCTAAAGGATGCCTGGCAGCGTATTAAGCGGACACGCGAGGTGGTGGAAACGAAGGCCAAGCGAGTACGCCACGCTCAGAAGCAACTGATAGCGAAGGAGGCGACGCTTCTTGAGCATGCAGAGCGTCTGCGCGCCCTAGAGGAGGAATTGCGCCGCAAGGAGCGTCGACTGATGCGCGAGGGACGCGGCAGTCAACAGGGTTGTTGTTGTTGTTGTTCCACGTGCAATTTAACGACCAGGTGCCGCTGCCCGAAGGAGGAAGGAGGAAATGCATTTGCGCACATCTGCCGTGCNCGGACGTGAGTGAGAAAGTGTCTGTGTGTGTGTGTGTGTGTGTGTGTGTGGTTGTTGAGATGACCCTCTGTGGTGTCTCTGTACACTATGCGTTGTCGAGTTGCTCGGGTACAGCACGCGGTGTCTTGTTTGTCTCTGTCGCCATCCATTGGGTCTGCATCCTTCCCCCACCCCCCGCCTCCTCGTTTGGCCATCATCCTTCTCCCTGCGTTGTCGATCGCCTAATAAGCCAAAAAAAAGGGAGGGGTGAGGGGGCGCAGAGCGATGCCGCCAAGCAGGGCGGACGAGGCGCTGCGTCTCTTTGCGGCGCTGCAGACCACGTTGGAGGCGGAGACGCAGCGCCACAGCGGCCATGTGAATGTGCGTGCGGCCAGCGCCGAGCCGTCGTCGCGCACGCCGCAGCA